TGGGAAGGAAGGAACGTTGAAACTATGTAGAAAACAATTTCCTAATGGATAAAGGTTTAAACGTGGAAAAACAACTTTGGGAAAAACAGCTCAATGATGTAAAATATTTACTTGCCCAGTATAAAAAGGACATGCTGTAAAAATAAAGTGAGACATTAATTCTTGAAAGCGCTCCTGTGTCTCCGGGTGTTCTTTCTTCCTTCCTCGCCGACTCCGCCTCCACCTGAGGGAACCCCTGGACGTATGGGGAGCTGGTCTCCCGCAGGAAGGCTTCACAGAAATACCTGTTGAAGTTATACTGTACCTTCTGAGTCAAGTCTGTATTGAGAAGAATGAAGTGATGCACATGGCACCTAGAGAATGGGGTCTGCAGGCTCTGGGAAGTCTGCGTGCTGCTCTATTTCTGTACTCCCAGGATTGCGTAGTGGACGATTTTTAATGTCATTTCAAGACGCTGTAAGACACTCTTCAAGGACACATTCTTACTAGAAACTCCTGCTTCCATAGGCTGGCTGGTCTGTTCCTGAGCACTGGATGTTCCACAGTACACACGAGCTGTTTGTCACAACGATGAACGGCCAGACACTGGCGTTTTAACTCCCTGCTCCTCCAGGCGGTTCCTGTCCAGGTCCAGGCTGTGATATGACAGCTCCTTAATGAGAGACCTGACAGCATCTCACGCCTGCATTACTGAACAGTGGGCAGCACCAGCATGACATGGTGGGTACAGTACTGGCATCACAGCAGCATCTCAGGTCCTTTGCCACCAGAAGATGCAGCTGGCTGATGGCCTCCATGGAGACAAAAGGGTTTAGGAGTCCATGCTCATGGCGACCACTGGAAGGAGGGAAAATAGGGCTCTTGACCACATTCATATTTTGCTTGCCTGAAACCAGGGGCACCAGATGCTCTCCAGCTGTGTGTGCCCTGCCTGCCAGAGACAAAATGCTGGTCTTTAAAAAGAAGTTTTTCAAACATTCCTATCACTCTAATGAAATTTATTTCAGAGCAGCAATATTTTGCTAAACAAGTAACACTTCAGCAGAGCTCAAGCTCCTCTTCAAAACAGACAAGCAAGTCCATCTCCCAAGACTGATAATCAGTATAGATGACTAACCCCAGACTCCTGGATTTGCTCTTTGCCTCTCTTAAGCCTCATTTTAGCTCTGGTTTTCCTCTTTCCTTGTGCCCCACCTGGGATCCCCATTGAACACTGTTTCTTCCATAACCATAGCCAGTTATCACCATGATTTTTGTCCTTTTGGCTCTTCCCTAGGCCCTTCCGGGGAAAATGGGAAAATGACTTTATTGTCCATTCTTCTTGGACTGCTGATATCTGGCCCTTGTCTTTTTATGTTCTTGTCAAATTTGTATCTTCTAGGATACAGCAGTTTCATCTCCAGATGGCCGTCCGCTAAGGATTCCAACCTGTCTCTCCTGAGGATGACAAACCTTGTCACATCTGCTCAACCAATCGCCCTGGTCATTTCACTTAGGGCCACCCCTTCCAACCACTCCCTAAATCCTCCACAGCTCCCTTTCCGCTGTAATAGGATAGCAAGAAACTGGTGTCAGTAGGCGGGGACTACGTGCTTGTCCAGCAGGAAGCAGTTTCACAAGATAGACCTTCGTGCGAAATCCCTTGTAAGATTGCAAGGGCCCAGATTTCCTACGGGGGGGAATGTTTCTGTAGGCAGAAAGAACAGGGAGAAGGGGGAGGAAGCGAAGGAGGAAGTATGGGAGACGAAGGAGGAGATAAGATCATTCTTAAGAGAAGGTACAGCTACAACTAATTGTAAGATTATAATACTATTAGCATTGCGGGGGAAAAAATTTCTACCCCCTGTGTCTCCAGACAGTTCTGACAAGCGCCAAGGAAGAACAAGAGAATCCCACCTCCCGACGGAAAGGAATGGACATTGAGGACAGCAGGGGCCTACCCGGGAAGGCCTGTGATTCCACCCTTAAATCTTGACTATTTCCTGCCATCAAAATCCTAAGTTGCTTTGTTTTTTTGTGCAACTACCCTCCTTCTGTCCTACCCACTCCCATTATTTTGAGTGTGTACTCTTTTTTTAAATCCACTGCTTGTTAAAAAAAAAATAAATAACACCTCCAATTCTGAATAGCTATATAATTGTGCTTGGTATTTAAAGTAAAACAAAACCAAAAAGTCAGCACCCTCCAAAGTGAACTTTTGAATTACTCTGTGTTAGAAATGAAAAGTTATGTTTGGTTTCCCTTCAGATTCTGTGAATATGAATGTGTTGTTACAGGATTTACAAGTGGATTTATTTAACTCAATAGAAAATTTATTTTAGAGTACATTGTATTGGTTTATTACAACCAAATTATATTATTGAAGTGATTTTATTAAAATTACCTACAGTTTTCTTGTAACTTTTAAGCTATATATGGTCTTCATTGAAGAAGTTGAAACGGGGAGCTTGCTTCATGTCTCTCTTTTCCTTATAACTTCAAATTTTGATCTAATTTCAAACTTAACAGAAATGTTACCAGGATAATAGAAGGAACTCCCAAGTACCCTTGACTCATATTCACCAATTGTTTTCATTTGCTNTTCCAAAGCACCAGCACCCTGGCCCCGCAGGCAGGCCTCCCAGCTTTAGCCACACACCCTTCCCCCCACACTGGAATCCTATGCAGGGCCCACATCTCAGCCCAGGCCTTCATGATGAGTTACTCTTTGAGTGTTTTGTTTGTGTCTTTGTGTCTTCTGCTAGCAGATGTTAGTGGGAAACATTCTGAGCTGTCACAGAGGTTCCAGTAATGCTGCAGGAAAAGATCAGACTTTTCTTTCTCATTTGCACCCCAAGATCTTTACCCCAAGGCCGCTTGATGTCCCCTAGAGCTCCTTCTCTTAGTTCCTGGAAGGTCCCATATTGCCCTTCCCACAGCAGTAGGCGCCACATTGCCTGAGATTCCTTAGTTAAGGTTGGACCCTGAAGTGATCTGTTTTCCCAAATAATGAAAGTCTCCCAAGTGACTTGAATCTCCCTCAGGTTTCAAAATATTGTCAATTATGCCTCACAGGGAAGCCAGTGAACAGAAAGCTCTGAATCTGAATCTAAAGTAGGTTATTTGTCATTAGAAGAGCTGAGCCTCCCCAGGCCTCATCAGTATGCATGTGTAAAAGGAGATTTATATCTTCCAAGTCAATTGGGGCTGGACAGGGAGGTGAAGCATGTTTCTAATAAAGATCTGCTGGCTCAGAGTTTGAGGTGGTAGAGACGGGATAGTAGTAGTCCAAGCCAGATTTGACTTCTGTTAGTTTTCTGCAGTCAGTGTGATTAGCTACAAGAATAGGGGACCATTGTGTTATCTGATTTAAAGAGGTAACGTATTTCTAAATAAATTTAGTTTCAAATTATATAATAGCTGAGATGTCTTGAATTACAAACCACCAAGAAAGAGTAGCTAATAACCAAAATTAATAACATTTCCTGAAAACTGCAACATTTGAATGTTAGAACCTATGAAAAACACACATTGAGGTTTATTTGGAATTCCAAAATAGTTTTATCAAATAAAGTTTAAGAACAACTCATTCCATTGCCTTATTATTTCTCTGAGCATTGTTTTGGTGCATTATTGGATTTCCCATAACAACCTGGTAAAATAAGGCAGTGAGATGCTTGTTTCATACAGGAAGACTTTGAGTCAAAGAGAAGCGACTTGTCTGAGGGGTATGAAAGCTGTTGGTTATAGACCTAGAACTTTTGAGTTCCAACACTTGCCCTTATGTCAAGCTAATTCTAATTCATGACTGGTTCACTTTCCCTTTTTTTCTTTAACATGTTTTATAAAAAGTTTGTAGAACTTACAAATTTGAACTGTATGGGATAATTAAAGTTTTAATATTAGCTCTGATATTGTCTGAAATACTCTAAGAAATTTATATATTTGGTAAATGTTTTTTATGTCAGTATTAAGACAATAATACTATTTATCACCTTTTTTATACACAGCAATCACAAACTAATTTCTGAATCTAAAGAAGAAGGGCGACATAAAATGTCTTCTGAGAATAGCAATCTAGGTAAGACTTCTGATAGTGAATTACTCTCGGTGGTACTACCATGGATAAAGTAAGACTAAGGAAGTTTTGCTAATGAAAAAGCAGTGAAAAAAAACAATGTATAAATTGCATGTTATTTTTTCTTTCTTAATTTCTTTAATAGTCTAGTATTCAGAATTATTTTAATTGTAGGTAATTTAAAATCTGAGACAGTAAATGAAAAGAAATTCATTTATTTAGCCTAGACCCCTAAAATTCTATATGATATCTTTGTGTAAATAAGAAAAATGATTTTTAAGTTAGTATGTTGTATGTTTCCTCTATAATCACCTTGTACCAAATTGGACTTGTTATAAAAATGGATCTTTTGTTTAATTTTTACAGCACATGGATTACATCTATTGGGTTGTCAGAAAAGTCATGACGTATTTTGTCTATGTTTTTCAAAGGTAATTTATTTATATAAATACCAATCAATGATATATTGCCCGTTTTGTTCGATAATCTTTTACCATCTTTCAGTGAGCTTCATAATTCCTCGTTCATAGAAGGACCTGTCTTTATTTGCGAAAAATGGAGCAAGGTGCTGATTTACAGCCTCAATTGAATTGAAGGTTATACCACGCAAGAAGTTTTGAAGAGGGCAAAACAAGTGGAAATCTGATGGCACAAAATCAAGCGAGTATGGTGGGTGTGGCAACACATCCCATCCAAGCTTCAGTAATTTTTGATGTGTGATCAAACTTGTGTGTGGTCTCGCGTTGTTGCGATGGAACACAACTCCTTTACGATTAACAAGCTCTGGACGTTTCTGGATGATGGATTTGTCCAAACAGTCCACTTGCCGACAGTACACATTCGAATTGATTGTTTGGTTCCTTGGTAGGAGCTCGAGAAACACGAGACCTTTGAAATCCCACCACATTGAGAGCGTAACCTTCCTCTGATGAACGTCTGCTTTTGATGTCGTTTGAGGTGAATCATCATGTCGGGACCAAGATTGTTTGTGCACCACATTGTTGTCAACAATCCACTTCTCATCAACAGTTATCAGTTGCTTCTAAAGGATTGTTTTCTTCACATTTAATGAGCATATCGCAGATGTTTATATGTGCCGTCAAATGAACTTCTTTGAGTCCATGCAGAACCCAAATATCGAGCTTGCTTACATATCCCAGCTTCTTCAGGTGATCGTGAACACTTGAATGATGGATGTTCAATGTTTCTGCAATNAACATGGGCCAGTGAAGCGACGTCCTCCACAACTAGACTGAAGAACAAAAGGACAGCAACTTGTCTGTTCCCCTTCCCCGATTCCCCAATGCTGTCCCCTCCCCCCAAATCCCCCAAGAAAAGCTTAAAAAAAAAGGAAAAATGTGATTATTAAAAAAATTAATAAAATAAATAAAACAGTATTTTTAAAGCATATTTAAGGCAGATCCTCTTTGAAGGATAATTAAGTTGGCTTTAATGAAATTGTCCATTCAAAATGTATTTAAAGCATCATAAGTAGCTATATTAAGATCAAGAGATCTAACGATTTTCAGATTACTACATTCCTTGTTATCACAAGCTAATAAAACTGGTCAGTTAACACTATTTGTTCTAAATAAATGCAGGTTTCATAGGCCCCCTCTCGGTACTTTCAGGTCACAAATAAGGCATCAATTGAAGTAACTGGGCATTTTAAGTGGAGATAAAGTACATATGGCCTAATAAGTGTCAAGAGATTCTGTGATGAAAACAGGAGTAATTTAAGAGAACTTCCAATAGACTTAGTTTCTTCAGGACACATTCTAAAAATTCGTTTTTGATACTGAACAAACATCCCCTGCTGATTTTAACTTGTCAAAGAGACTTGAAGATTTTATTGGGGATTTGGGGGAGGGGAACAGTGTTGGGGAATTGAGGGGGAGGGGAACAGCCAAGTTGTCCCTCAATCTTAATTGTGGAGGGTGCAGCAAGTTCAGCTCCAAGTTATCCGGCTACCCATGGGCAGCTCGCAGCCGCTCAGCTCTGGGTGCTGTTTTCATACTTAGTTGCGGGTGGGTGTAGCCACCATCCCATGTGGAGTTGAACCAGCAGCCTCATTGTTAAGAGTGCCTGCTCTATCCCCTGAGCTATTCGGGTGGTAGCCCAGCTCAAGGTGCAGAGTTCAGTCTTTAGTTGTGGGCAGGCGTCGCCCACCATCTCAAACAGGCAGCCTTGTTAGGAGCACGTGCTCTCATCAGCTGAGCCATCCTGCCTCCTGTTGGCAGCCCAGCAGCAGCGAAGCTCACTGGCCCATGTGGGAATCGAATCAGTGACCCTGTTGCTCAGAGTTCGCACTCTTGAGCAAGCTCTTAACCAACTGAGCCACTTGGCCAGTCCCTCAAAGGGACTTAATGAAATCTTCTTACTCCTTATAAAAGAAACTGGTATAGGATTAAGTAAAAATAGTTTTGTCTCTTTCTATGGCTCATTTCCTGTTGCAGCAATTTTTGTGCTGTGGTCAGCGTATGACAGCTAAAATACCATTCAGTGTATCTTTCAATTTAGCTTTGCTTGAGTCTCTGAAAGGAAACAAACTAGTTCCACTCTACACAGAACCATACCCTGACGTAGCTTTGCTTGTGCCAACTGTTTAATTCCAGCCACTGTTTAATTCCATAGAGGCAGTGTGGGCTGATTGCCGAAAGCTTAATTGGCTCAACTACTGAATCAGGTTCTCCTTGTACAAGATTAATCACTGTTCCGTACTCTCATAAACATGGTATGCTTAGAGACTGGAAACATTTTTAAAGAATGGAAAAAGCTAAGGAATTTAAGCAAGGAGAAGCTGCTATGTGCACACAATGCCTGCTTTGTGTTTACTGATATGTTTGTTCAGTTTAAATAATCAACTTTTAACTCCTGTGGAAATTTTGCCAAAAGTTAAATACATATAAGATTATAAATCTCTAACACTGCACAGAGTAAGGCAAAGTTACTTTTAAAAAATAAGAATTCCTTCTACATTCTCTCAGACCCGAGCAATACTGTACTAAAGTACAGATCTGAAGAGAAACTGAGAGTTGAGGTCTCAAATGTTAATCTTCCGGTAATTCATGTTAACACTCAGGCTAGCTAGTACTGAGAGTCATCTTTCCCCAGAACATTGTGTAGTAGAAAAAGCAATGCAAACTCCATGACCCTCTCCAAAGTGTATCCTCCTCAGGCTCCGTGGGCAGACTATATCTTAATGTAATTGTATTTACTGCCCAGAGTAGGCTTAACTTGAATGTAAGGTCCTGAAATTAGAACTGAAGGAGAGTGATGCCCCCAAAGTCCTGGGTCAGATTTGGGGTGTTCTTTGGAGAACAAATATGTTGCACTTTGCTCCACAGTGATTGTACTTCAAAGGGGAAAAAAAATCCCAAATAATTATTTCTGCCCCATCCCACCTAGGCTCCCCTTTGCTATTTTTGGTCTCTTCAAAAGCTTGTACGTGATATCCAGTAAAGAAGTAAAGAGTTTCTCATCACTACTGTTGGCAGTTTGAAACATCCCAGAGGTGGAACTGCCACTCATCCTCTCGTTCTAAGCAGATAGTTATTTGGTGTAAGGAGTGTCTGTCAGGTGACACACAGGGTAGCACCTTTTAGACACTTAAATTTCTTAAGATCACCTACAAGAGTCACAGAGGTACGAGAGGAGTCTGATGGAAAATACCCCTTCACAGCTGACACTGCTGGCATGGCGANGGAATGGCTGGGAAGGAGGTGAATACCTAGGTCAGGCAAGCTTAGGAAAGTCTTAAGACTAGAGAAAGGAGTCACTCTGATCCTGTCAGCCTTGGGAAATGTAGCAGATAGAATGCTTTTCGCTGCAGATAATAGGTGACCTAGTACACAGTGGCTAAAACAACAGGAACCAGGGTGGTGTTGGGGGTCCAGTGATGCCATCAGGATCCCAGATGTTGTCCCTGTTTCATCTGTGAGGTTGAGAGTGTTTTAAGTCTCGTTTCCTGGTCGGCTAATTAACAATGCCTTCAAGTATCATGTTCTCACTACAATATTCAAAGGCTGGAAGGACTGCTTTTCTTTATGTGTTTCTCTTATCTTTAAATTTTTTATTAAAGTATAGTTGGCATGCAATATTATATTAGTTTCATGTGTACAACATAGTGATTTCATATTTATTTAATAGTTACATTACGAGGTGATCACCATGATACGTCTAGTCACCAGCTACCACCTTGCAAAGTTACTACGATATTACTGACATGTTCCCTGTCTTGTATGCCACATCCCTGTGGCTTAGATATTTTATAACTGGCAGTTTGTACATTCACCTTCTTGTTTTTCATCCATTCCCTCAACTCCCTCTCCTCTGGAAACCATCAGGTTGTTCTTTGTAGCTGAGGGTCTGTTTCTGTATTGTTCATTTTTTTGTTTTGTTTTTTTAGATTCCACATATAAGTGAGATCACAGGGTATTTGTCTTTCTCCGTCTTATTTCACTTAGCATAATACCCTCTAGGAACACCCATGTTGTTGCAAATGGCAAGATTTCATTCTTTAGGGCTGAGTAATATCTCATTGTGTATATATATTCCGAACATCTTTTTTCATTCATCTACCGAAGGACACCTATGATGCTTCTGTATCTTGGCTATTGTAAATAATGCTGCAATGAACATAGGGGTGCAGATATCATTTTGGATTAGTGTTTTTGGTTTCTTTGAACAGATACCCAGAGTGGAATTTCTGGGTCACATGATAGTTCAATTTTTAATTTTGTGAGGAATCTCTATACTGTTTTCCATAGTGGTTGTGCCAATTTACAACCCCACAAACTGCGCAAGGGTTCCCTTTACTCCACATTCTTGCCCGCACTTGTTATTTGCTGCCAGATGATAACCATCTGACAGATGTGAGGTGGTATCTCATTGTGGTTTTGATTTGCATTTCTCCGATGATTAGTTATGTTGAGCGATGTGTTTCTTTTAAATAGGAAGAAAACTGAGAGGCTTGCATAGATCCTTGTAACATTTACAGGCTGGGGTACATCACATGCTCGTTCCTGCACAGTTAGTGGTAAACCAGTCACTGTGGTTAGCTTGGTATAATCATTTCCTTTTCTGGAGCTGGGGAGAGGCCACCTTTCTTTGTGTATTGGGATGATAAATACCCACACAGAGTTGTGGTTCTCTAGCAAGAATGAAGACTAAGGAATGGCTAGTGGGCAGGGAGCCAGCAATAGTTACTGCAGGGGCTCATGAGGGAGTTTTGAGCAGAAGAGGAACAAGATGAGATTGCATTTGGACTCTGGTTGTGGTATAAAGCAGGGGCCAGCAAGCTTTTTCTGGAAAGGGCCTGATTTTAGGCCATGTGGTCTCTCACAGCTACTCGAATCTGCCATTATGGTGTGAAAGCAGTCAGGGGCCATATGTTAATGAACAAGCAAGACTGTGCTCCAGTCAAACTTGATTTAAAAAACCAGACAGGGCCGGCCGAGTGGCGTGATGGTTAAGAGCTGGCTTGGGA